ATATTAAGATGAATTCAGTTTGGTAATTTTTCAAAACTTTTAAATTCGACATCTTTATTTACATTTTCATCAAAATAATACTGCATGGAATTAACATAATTTTCCTCAGGTTCTCAAATTTTGAGGGTATTAAATTTCATGTTTAAATTTACTATTAAAATCTTGAACTAAAAGAGTGAATAATGCCACCTGAAAAATTTGAAGAATTCTTTCCCTTAAAAATGTTGAACTAAAATATTCCATATTTTTGTCAAAATCATAATTTTGAAACTTCACAGCATCTTAAACACAAACAGATCTCAGATCCACTTACAAAATAATATTGTAGTAGCTTATCTCAGATTTCTGACAGTAACAACAAACCAAGTCCCCGAATTTTATCGTTAAAGAGAGAGTAGAAATGCCTTTGCCATCGACCTTTAACATCTTATAAGGTAAATGTAAAAGTGAGTAGATAAATAAAGTTAAGTTCTTGCTAATGCTGACGTCACTTGCTCCCCAAAAGCGGGAAAATAGAAGCAGACTTTGAACAGATTGCGTCCTATGATGAGTTATGCCTTTCTTGTTTTTGTTTGGGCAAACTCTTGCAAAACAAAGCGGAAGCAAGTTCCGAACTTCAGAATTGCATCCTATTCGCATGTTCGCATGCTGCCTATGGTTTGTCAGAAATAATGTAATCTATGAAGCTCAACCGGTGGTACGCGTACCACTGGTGGTACGCAAGAGAAAAATAGGTGGTACGCAAAGATGCAAAGTATTTTTAACTATTAAATTCAAAAATTAAAACCCCAAAATCCTGATCGAGTTTTTCTCTAACACTCGTAGATTTATGCGATCTGAGTTTTATTCAAGGTCAATAGCCGCTTATAGACTTCAGGAAGAGGCGAACGATCTGTCTGCATGGCAGTTTTCGTGGTTCTTCCAAATTGTATTTTTCACAAATATTCTTTTAGCCATAGACAAAACAAAATTTGCCATAGATGACGTTTTTAAAAGGAGTGATACAAATGGATGTTGTATTTAATACGAAATAAAAATAAGTTTCTATAAAGAAGATACAGTACAAAGTCTTTAATCCGGTATCGTCGGGACTTCGGCGATTCCGGATTAGGAGTTTTTCCGGATTATAGATCATTAATTTAAACCTGGTAAGATGCCATGCAGACATTATTAAATTAAAAATATGAAATTTATGAAATAAAGAGCAATTGTGATCTAAAAGGTAGCAAAATTTACAAAAAAAAAAAAAAAAAAAAAAAGCTTAATATTTATTTGTTTACATTATTAAACATTTCTTTCAATGTAAGTTGTTTAAGTTGCTTCGTTTTTTTGTGCTAATACTTTCTCTTTAATTATATAAACAGACATAATTTCTTGTTCAGTTCCACTGTTCAAGTCCTGTAATTGCTGTGTCGAGAATACCGACTAACTCGTCAATTGAAATTTTTTCGTTTTCAATAACCTCTCTGTCACTTTCTTCACTATCGGAAGCGGTACATCGAACATGCTTTCGCTTTGTAGATCCTTTGGCAGCTCCAGAATCGGAAACTCTTTTTGACATAATCGAAAGTTCAAGCTTACTTTTTATAAAATTGCTCTAACAGTCTGCAAAAAATAATAAGCCGGATTCAATTAGAAGATTAAGGAAAAAAGCAATCTGCAACATTAATTGAATTAGATAATTTTAGCTGAGCTTATACGGTCTGTCATACATTAAACGTGCATGCACACATGCATATTTGCAGCTGTACAGGTCTTTTGTGCACGCGTAAACGCCTATGCGCATGCGTCCGACGCATGCGCATAGAAAGTTTGTAGCTTTGAGGTCCAGATTATAGATGCAACATTAGCTGAAATAGATATTAAATAATTTTAGCCTAGCTTATACGGTTCGTTATATATTAAACGCGCATGCGTAAACGAATTATGTGTTTACGCATGCTCAGAAAGTTTGCACCTTTGAGGTCCGGATTATAGATCATTCTGGATTAAAGACTTTGTACTGTAATAGTATCTCATAGAGTTTTCTGATTTATTAACATGTCAGCACTTTATATCGCCCTTTTCTGCCTCATATTGCTCCATTTTCAATGAGAATAATTTTTTACGTCGGTTTGCTGTCTAACAGTTGGTGTTTTGTCTTCTTGTTGCTTTGCATTCCTTAGTTTTAATACGCTGTCTTCCAACCGAACATGGCCACTTGGAAGTCGGAATTAAAAATTTTTTTTTTATTACCTATTTCAAATTTCGCAAACCTTAAGCGAATTTTTGATTTACAAACTCAACGATTTCAAAGCGAGCAATTCTAACACTGTAAAAAAAAAAAAAAAAAAAAAAAAAAAAAAAACTCCACCGCGCGAGACTGTGTATCGAAAATTCTAAAGGTATGCTGTTTTTAAATATTTTGTGTTATTGCTGTTAAATTGAATTTTATGTGTTTTTAAGTGCGAAGAACATGATATTTAATAAATCAAGGTAACACATCAAACGTTAAAAAAAGCGCTTTTGGGCGTAATATAAAATCTGAAAACATTCAGATTTTCTTTCTTTCTTTTTAGCCTAAAGGGCTATTAACTTCGTTTTGGCATTTTGCGTTGAAAACTTAAATGTCTGTTTCACTTTTCAAATTGTTGCCACCAAATATTATCGTCCTGTGCTATATTTAAAGAAATTAAATAATGAAGAATCTGTATACATGTATGTAAGTTTTTCTCACTGTGATAAAACAACGGTACCTAGAGCCATCAAATTTTGAATAACGTAATCCTCCACCGAATATGGCATCTGGATTGGATTGGATTATTCAATTATGGCAAAGCACACGAAGGCTATCTGCCTAAAGGGAGGGATGCTTTCGTAGAGGACTTTCTAAGGAAAACTGGCTCGTATACACGTTACACATGGGGAAAACCACGAAAAGGCCCACGCAGCCAGCCCGTTCGCACCTCGAATCTCGGACCGAACTACACCTCGAATCTCGGACCGAACTACCAGTGTTCAGCATCATTACCGCTCGGCCGCTGGTGGGCCTATATGGGCACCTGGAATCCTTAATTTGGAATTTATTTTATTATCGATTTCATATTTTTTAACATTTTAACGAATTTTTGAATAAAAAAACTCAAGAATTTCATAGCGAGCAATGGCAACACTTTACGAAGGGGGGGGGATTTGTCTCCAGCACGTGAGGCTGTGTATCGGAAATTCTGAAAATATGCTCTTTTAAATATTTTGGGATATTGCTGTTTTGAATTTTATGGTTTAAGTGCAAAGAACATGATATTTAATAAATAAAAGTAATACACAAAACGTTAAAAAAAGTCCCTTTGGGCGTAATATAAAGTCTGTAAGCTTCTCAGATACTTTTTTAAATATTTCTCTTCAGAAATTGAAAAATAATCATTGTAAAATATAGTGGTGGTACTAAGGTTTTCAATTTTCGTTTAGAAGGTACGCGTTAGTCAAATGGTTGGGAAACGTTGGGATATACCACAATTTCGTGCCTACTTTCATCACATGGCACACAATTTCCATTTGAATCTTAGGAACGCAGAGAATAACATCACACCCATCTGCAATTATAATTTCCATTGTCGTAACTATATTTGAAGAAGTCAATGAAGAGTGAAGCGGCCACCTTAAGTAATAATTTGGAAATAATTCGTCAAGTTTCTGCATTTTATTTTCTGCAGTATACAAATTTTGTAACATTTCTTTTTGCTTATATATTAATATATTGTGAGAGTTACCTAAAATTTTCCCACTTGTTTGTGTAACTTTGCGCTTTGAAATTGAATTTTTAGCAGTAACCTCGTGTCATAAGCACCACTTGTTAAATTTCACGCGAGCGACGATATCTTTATATTTCGTTTAATTCTCAAGTAATTCTTTGTGATCAACAATTATTCGGACCGTGCATTGTTTCATAATAGATGTAATCAATCAGTTTCGATAGAGGTTGGACCTCGAATTCGAATCCTCCGGTGCTAACACCACTTCTCACAAAGCAAAACTTTGAACGGACTAGGAGCAAGGACTTTATATGATCTCTTATAAGGTCCATGACTAGGAGTCAGTGACGTCACACAAGAACAAAATTTGTACCAATTGTCTGTAACTTGGGTGATAGGACTACTTTGCACAGTTCCGTTGTATTTTTAAAGAAGAATCCTCTCGACGAACGGGTCCAAAGTTGTTCCACTATTTTTCCCTATCACTAAACTACTCGGCAGAACTTTCGATTCACCGCGTATTTTAAACATCCTATTTCACAAAGACACAATGCAATAACAAACACCCAACACTCTCCGGGATTCGAGCTCAGACGGAACGATGCGGCAGTCATCAAAGCTAACCACTATACCTATCAAGGTGAGACTACAAATTAATAATAATAATAATAATCAAGAGCAATGCAATCGGGAGAGTCAAAATACAGTTATAAAAACGTTTTAAATGCAGAACCTGTGCCAGTTGCCTAACAAATGTCATTAGAAACATCTACTGTGTCAATAAGTTTCAAACGCTCATAAAAATTATAAATTAGCTATATAAATTAATTGTATTTTTCTTTATTAGAAAAATCATTAAAAGGTGTAAAATAAAGATATAAACTGTTAAAAGCGCGATTATTACTTTTAAATCTTCTGGTTTGTTAATGAGTGAAAAACTGATTAAATATGGAACAAGATCTTTCCTTTTACCAAATGGCAAGACAGTGAAAACGGTTTCGATGAAGCCGCATAGAAGATTTCTCGCAATGACAATTTTTTTTTAAGGACTGCTTCTATATTCTTTACGTCTCCCTCTTCTTTTAACTTTTCCAAGACGAGATTTTATATGCTAACTGAAAATAATTCATTTCCTTTTAAGTGTAAAATGTCATAAATGTTTCTCATTTCTTCTTCTTTTATTATATAAAAAATAATAACAACAAAATCATATCCTTTTTTAGGAAGATAATCTCAAAACAATTATATTCAAAATCATTTTTTACTTACTGATTGTAAATCAGTTGGCGAAGGCGTTTCTAGCAAATTGTGATATGCATTGATATAATGGTCCCAGAAAAATGCCCCAATTGCCATTTGCAGTCCAAAACAGAGAACAACAACAAAGACACCCCTCTGACTGGTTGTATGTGACATCAAGCACGTCTGAGAAGCTCCATTTAGAGGACTTCCATTTTTACAGTCTTTGCACATTTCATGAGTATTTAGAGGCAAGTAGTATTTCATCTTAGGTACTGTAGCGCGCAGATGCTGAAAACAACCTTTGGAAAAAGAAAAAAAGAGGAAAATTTGACATTTGAATTGAAATCTAACAAATATTTTCTAGTTAACAAAGAAAGTCAAATACATAATACAGTTTATTATGTATTTAAATATGTAGGAATAGAGTAATATAGAAAGAACATTTTATGTAGTGCACACTTATAAATATATGAGGAAACAAATGTGGGATATTTATCCCAGTGCTTGAAAAAGATGCAAAAATAATAGATTTTCACAAACATATATACAAATGATGGAATGATAAATTCTTATCGGTGGAAGCTCCTTTTCTATACAGGACTTTCTATACAGTCTATATAGGACTTTTCTATACTAGATTCTTTCTATATATTTCTTACTTTGAAATTTCTATACTATGTTAAATATCTGTTTTTACCTCATCTTCATTTTCCGATGTGTACTATATTTTCCATCCCCTTGAAATATTACACGTTAATTTCAAGGTCGGCAAGCAAACGCGTTTAAAGGCTTCCCAACACTCGAGCAAAATCTTGTCATTTAACTTAGAAGTGAGACAAATGAAGACCCAATTACCAAGGGAATTGCTACTTTGCAGCACACTGTGAGTCAATGACGTCACACGCTCATAGATTTCCAGTAGGGAAGGACAAATCTCGTTGTATAGTAAGCAACTTTGGTTAGTTTCCTATACCGTTTAAAGGAAGTGAGAATAAATTAAACTCGCAATTACCTATTTTCCTATTTTGATTTTAAAAAAATGAGGTAAACCTTGCTGATTTAAAAAATATATAACATGCTTATGTTTAAAGCATCAAACGCTAGTAAATAAAATTAAAAGATTTGAACCATCAAAGACAAACTTCTCTCTTAAAGAAATGATTTTTAGAAATTTTCTTTTAAATCGCTTCCAAATAATATTTAAAATTTTTCTAAATATTGTGCTGGATTTACATAAACAGTATTACACAAAACCATTCGTTTTCAGAATCAGATTTGATAATAGACTTTTCCGAGATCTGAGTTACAGGAAATTTTACTCCGGATGCGTCCATAGTTGGACTCCCAAAAGTATATTTATTAATCGTAGTATGTTTGAAGACTGTAGAGTTCGACTTACTTGTTTGTTTTACTGAAGGTATTTTTTTGTCGAATTGAAATTTTGAGTTTTAAGCATTAACTCAGAGAACAGTATATATACGTAAGGAACTTCGGAAAATTATGAAAATCCATTTTTTAAAGTTGAAACAACTGTGGAATGATCAGTCTTTAAAAATGGTCTTAAAAAAAATCTGCAAATCAGTCATTACAATATGATAACAGTGTAAGGAAGTTACAACTTCAAAAAAGTATTTTTATTTATTTTATTTTAAAAGAAATAGCGTTCAGAGGGAATTATATGGTGCTTCACTTTTTTTCTCTAAATTATTTTCTTCAGTATTTAAGTACCTTTTTATAAAATTTTATCTGTTACAGAAACTGGCTTTTAGTTCATAACATCAGTTACTTAAATATGCTGAGTGAAACTACTAAACTACTAAACTTATCTCCAAAAAGTATTGATAAATTTTATTTATAAATGTTCTGTATTTTAAAATTTTCTAATTTTCTAGCATTGAAAATTTGTTCCAAATTTTTATGCTACAAATATTAAGAAAATTTTTTTTTGTCCAAACCGTCCTAAGCCAAATAGTGACCATTAATTTGTAATAAGGATTGTTAGAAACTAATAACAACCCTTATTTAGTAACTATCACTAAACTGGCATCTAAATCGGAATTTCAGATTGCAATTATTTTTTATTTATTCTTTTTACATATTTTGTAAATACTATAGAACTTCAAATATTTCGATTAACGGAGATCAAAATTTATCCGGATATACGGGTTATCATTTCTCCTGCTGTAGATCAGCTGCATATACATTGCAAGTAATGCATATCCATTGTAATGAAAATGAGACCGTTTTGGCTGTTTTTGTTTATGGTATTGGATTTTAAAAATCTACGCAATGACAACATTTTTGTTACTTTCGTAAAATGCAAAACACTTTTTTAGAAATAAATAAACAGTGAAATTAATTTTTATTTTCCTATAACATAGCATTATAAAGAAATCTGTATATCATATATTGGGTTGGATAAATTCTGGCGTTTTTTTTTTTTTTTTTTTTTTTTTTTTTTTTTTTTTTTTTTTAAGTGAAAATTTTTGCGAGAAAAATGAAATTTTTTATCAGTGAGTTTTATGTTATTCGATAGAAAATTATGGGCTCTACAAAAAAGTGTGTTTAGTTTTTTACGCTGATACACTTTTTGTTCTTTTCCTGTCATTAGAATGAAGTGTACAGTCGACAAAAAGCAGCATTTTCGACACCATCTGCTTTTTCGCGTTTAATTGAGGTTTCAAAGGCACAGAAGCTTTTCGAGAGAGTTGTGAAGTGTATGGCGAAAAACCGATGCCTCTTTGAGCTGTTTAGTATCGGTTTAAGCTACTCTGAGACAGTGATTTCTGCCGTCGAGCCACTGAACAGCTTGTTGAACATTGAGAAGAGGTTGGAAACCTTAAATAAATAAATAAAAAACCTCCAGAACTTATGGGCCAACCCAATATATCCATTAAATTAAAATGGATAGATTCTTAAAAATCATATACTCTCCATTATCTTTTTCGTATAATTTAACGAAAAAATTATAAAAGACGATAAGATTCGAGTTTTAGATATCTGGGGTCTCCCAAAATGAAGCTCTACAGCATATAAATAAGTGAAAATGCCGAATAATCGAGAATTCGCGGACGTCAAACTTTCACAAATTATAAAAATTCTAGTGTGAATATATTAATGGCAAAAATTTTCTATGGCTATCATCTCTGTACTGTTACAACTCTTATATCATTTGAAATTTCAGTTGCAGTTCGTGCTGTTAGCTCTGAAAACCTTTTGTTTGGTGCGAGATGGAGATCAGCTTTCTCAAGTAGAAAGGATCTTTTTATGATTGAAAATTACTAAGCAATACATTCTTACGGAAGCGTTGTAGGAACGTTTGAAAAGCCTTCCCAAATGTTCGTGAACTTTAATATAAAGATTTTCCGCTGAGCGAGTTGATATCAAAATGCTGGAAACTAAATTGTTGCTCATCTGGTACAAAACCGAAGAATAAAATGGAAGAACAAATTCGATCATAAAATGTCGCAGACACTAGTAAAAAATCTGAGAAAGCTGGCAATAAAATTTATCATATGATTCGCGTTGCTGAAGAACCGAAAGCCCTTGATCACTTCAAACGGTTGTGCTATTTACCATTGCCTCAGATTTCTTGTTGAAGAAAGTGATTCCGATTTATTTTACAGATGAAGCTTGGTTTCATCTATACGGATATCTCAATAGTCAAAACACACCAAATATGAAGCACTCGCATGTGCTTCACAACACACCTTTACATTCACCAAAACTTGCTATCTAATGTATGCGTTCACGCTGAAAGACAGGGGTTCTCCCCCCTATCCCACTTAAACAGACCCACGGATTTTTTTCTATGAGATCACTTAAAAGCACTTGCTTGTTCAAGCAACCCAAACTCTGTCGAACACCGAAAGCAAACACTTATTAAATTTAAAAAATGAAATGATCATACACTGAGCACGATGGCTTCAAATTTGGGAAAAAGTCTCAGGGCATGTATTCGTGGAGAAAGCTCGCATTTTGAATATTTACTGTGAATATGGTGAAGAGTTTAAGATAATTAAAACATTTTTATGATTTGTTTTTGCACGATGAACTCCTCCTTTTCATTATCCCTCATCAGGATCCAAATGAGGTACTACTATTTATGGCGAGGACTTCAAATGACAGATATAAAGCTCTTGATCGCTAAACTCGCAACTTTACCTCTTGCTCAACTAGTAAGTCATTATTTCGGCATTAGCTTTTTTGCCAGACTAGGTTAAATCGCCCCATATAAATATTTTTAGCCGACACTTAGGCCAGTTAGCGTTGTCTCCCGTAACGATCCCATTTTAAACTGTAGATTAAATTTTCTGTTATCAAATAGCCACCAGTTGCGGATTTTGATTTTTCACGCACAAGTTGTATCTTTGTTAAATTCAAGTTTTAATAAAAATTTTATTGAAAAACCTTCATTGAATTGTGTAGTATTTGAGCGTTAGCTCGCTTGTCAATCTAAATAAAGTTTGAAGATCTTTTAAATTAGATTCACACAGGAAGGATCCTATAGATACTGAATCTTTTGTCATTTTTGTTTCTCAGAATACAGGCTTTCAGTTTAATTCGTGTTAATAGTTTAATTTATTTCAGTAATTTTGTAATAAAATATTTTTGCACTTTTGACACAATTTTTCTATCACCCTGTATTTGCCATAAACACCTTATAACTGTGTGTGTAATTCCTACAATAAATTACATAAAGGTTTGTGTAACTATCACTGTATACTATGACGACATTTGTAAGAACCACCATTGTAAGTTGATCATTTTACCATTTGTAGGTTTTGGAGACAGGTCAGGAAATATGAAGAGTCAACAATATTCTCGCCGTTATTCCAATGTTAGCTTGCTATGATATAGCCACTTACACTCTGACAGCACACACGGGAAGATACGATAATGTCCTCCCCTCTTCTTTATATATATTTTACATATCAATACTTTTAAAAGTTCTTGTAATTCTCTAATCTTCATAATCCACTAATTCTTTACACAAATAAGTTTAAGATGATTTTTTTCCAGTTCCCCAAAACTCGTAAAAATTTCGCTTAATACTGATCTAGCACGATCGACGACAGAATACTTCCCTGAGTGTTTAGTTGCCTATAGCATACACTTTAGTAATGATTACAGCATATGCGAGTATTTGCGAACCTTTCTTAGTCCTAGAGATTGTGATTTTTATACCGTACTTAACAAAAGACAGTGCTCAATTTTTTCTACTTCTGTAGATTAACGATTTTAGCTTCAAGATTAGAGGAACAGTGCATGTATTTCTTGGGAAGCGAATATAATAATG